AAAGGGATTCCTTAATGAAATCCACGCTTCACCCACCAGCTCCCTCCCATTTGAACCAAATCGCACACACCTCTCTGCAGCTTTCCCAAATTACCTTATTTTACCTAATTATGTATGTGCTGCAACCAGGACCATTCAGGAAAGCAAAACATGTTGTGATATTTGGGAGCAGAGCCCTGCTTTTTTGCATTTGTAAATTGTGAACATTTCCGTAAGACTGTCAGGTGGTTTTGTAAGGGTAGCAATGGCAACAAGAACACAAGTTGACAATCAGTATTTTTCTGGCTTCCGCAGACTGGTTAAAAACAACCGGCTGTACTGAGGGTCTCCCCTGTCTCTCTGCATCCTGACTCTTGATGTGATGAGCATACCGGCATCCAATTTTTGGACAGTCCCCCCCAGAGAGGACCTAGAACAGGTTTCGCATGCCACTGTAGCCCCAACACACCTCAGTGAACTTCCAGCAATGTTGCTTCGAGGAAGGACATCGCATCTGGCTGTAAAACCCCATTAACAAATCTTGCCTGTGTTGCTTTTTCTTTCTACCTTTGCACTGCAGTCCTCTCGAGAGGGAATTGACCGGTTGCAGTCAAAACAATTTTCTGCCTGGGAGCTTATGAGATATCACAGGCCAAGCCGTGTCGAGCCAGGGCCGGGATTTGCATGCCTGGCATTATTTTGGAGCCACCGGGAAGTAGCTGGAGGTGCAGGACCCGCGGCTGTGCAATGAATAGACAATTGTTCTGCGGTTAACGCACGGATCTTTAAAAATAAATAAATAAAGGCGGCAGCGGCGTGTTTGCTTTGGGGCCAGTCACTGCAGCAGGAATGGGAACATCAGGTAGGAGGGGCTCATGTGGCCCTGCAGGCCACACAACTTGGCCCTCAGGACTCTAAGGCTATACCTCCTGCCCATGCCACACACCTCTCCAGCCCTGCTTCACAGCCTCCTGATTTATTTATTTTTGCTGGCTGGAATGTGCCCTTCAAATCTAACCATGCCTCTTGCACAGAGGGCAGAGAGGGGCTCGTGAGGGTGTGTAGAGACCAGTGAATGGTACAATAGTAGTTTTACATTTTTTGTTTGGCCTGCCTTTGGCCTCGGGCCCTGCCCACCTCTAGTGTGTGGAGGCTGCCCAGAAAGGAGCTGAAAGAGGCAGTGTAGTACAGTGGTTATTACTGGGTCAGACAAGGACCTGGGAGGCCAGGGTTCAAATCCCCCACTCAGTCACAAAGCTCACTGGGTGACCACGGGGCCTTCGCTGCCTCTCAGCCTAATCTCTCTCACAGGGTCGTTGTGAGGATTAGATGAGGAGGAAGGATAACGGTGCACACCACCTGGAGCTCCTTGGAAGAAAAGGTGGGGAAGAAATGCAACAAACAAACAAACAAACAAGTGCTCCGTCCCTGCATTGCAAGCACAGGTCTTTAGGGGTGCCACCAGCACTGCTACTTTTGAAGGATTCCTCATATTACTGGATCGTTGCATCATCTCAACCGAGCTGTAAGTAGCTTCAGAAAAGCCTTTTATTTCTTAAGTGAACAAGGGCGAACACTTACTGCAACCTCCAATGAGTCAGGTTGCATTGCAGAGGCCACTACTTGAGAGCTCACATCCTGCTTAATAACTTCTGCTAATGTTGGAGCATGTGCTCTAAATTTTATTGAGCTCCACTGTGCACTTCCTCAGAAGATCTGAGATATGAACCTCTGTATTACCACTCCAAATGCTGTTGCGGACATTAATGCACTTTGCCTCTATTGCTCTAAGTTTACCATATGCCTTTTAAAACCCATAAAAACCATTTAAGAAGGGGGGGAAACCATTTTGGGAAGAGGAGATGTAAGACATTTGCATCATATTTCTCTTCCCATGCTCATCAGCTAGGGAAGGTAGCCCATCTAGGAGAAGGGAAACTCTGATCCTAAACCTCTACTGCCTTGCAGGATATCTTCAGGAGAGGAAAAGCTCAGGAGAAAAGCCTACACAAATCTGGAGCGGAGTCCCCAAGACGGTTGGATGGTGCCTTGTCTGCTTTCTTCCAGCAACCTTTGCAGCCAAGCTGGTGCCAAGTGTCTTGCTCTGCTTTCCTTTGGACCACCTTAGTGAGGCCAAGAGGGGGGTCTTCTCATCTGGGAGCCCAGGACCACCATGCACACTGCCCAGTCTTGCACCCTGCGGAGGTCACACACAGTTTTGACTTGTCCCCTGGAGGCACACTCCATTGTCTCTCAAGACAGATGTATGCCGACAATAACAAGTTGCAAATATACAAGGAGAGCAGCAGTGGAGGCAGGTGAAATCAAGCAGTCCTGGGGAAAATGGCAGATACGCTGCCACACATCCCATCTCCAGAGTCAGAGATTTAGCACCCCTTACAGTACAACTCTCTCTCTCTCTCTCTCTCTCTCTCTCTCTCTCTCTTCAGACTGCCAACTTCTGTTGCTTTGCAGGGGTGCCACCTCCTCTGAGCTCTGGTGGGCAAATCCTCCAGTTAGCACAAAAAACTCCCTGCCTGCGCATCAGTCTGGCATCCAGGTCTTCTTTGGAAGCTTCCCTGGCTCTGATACAGGCTGGGGGTGGGGAGTGGGCCTGATCAGCACCATCTACTGGCAGGGCAGCATTATGATAGGTGAGGCCACGCCAGTCCCAGCTCAAGGCAGGTAAGGAAAAGTTGCATCTTTTTGGCCAGCTCAAGACAAGCACCGCAAGGCTTAGCATACAAGAGGCAGCAGTCAGGACCCTGGACAGCTCCTACTCTCTGTCAGCTTGCCTTAAACAAAGGGAGCAGGAGCAGGAGCAGGAGCAGTTCCCTGCATGTTGTGTTAGGATATTTCCGTTCCACCTTAGAAGGGAGCAGGCTGTGAGTCACAGAGTCTGCGTATTTCCTGTTCACAGGATGTTTATGTTTTCTGTTGCTTTCGTTTTCTCTCTCTGTGTCGTAGACACTAAAGCAGGCAGTCATGTTTTCCTGTGTTCTGATCAATGCTGAATAAACTTGTAAATAATGCTCTCCTGAGTGCAACTTTTGGCTGTGCATTATCTGCTGATAAAGAGTGTGCATCGGCTCTAGAATGTTCTGGAGCTCATGTCGCTAATTGCTGATACTGCGTGTCTACGGGAGATCGATGGATCGTCCGGCAGCTGGCTTGGGGGCCATGATGGACTTTATCTCCCTGGCAGTATCCCAACATGTTGATCCTGGGCCACCTAGCTGTGCCTTTCTGCACCCAAGTAATAATAAATAATCATAAATAATCATAATAATCATAATCATAACCATACCCTAGGCCAACCCCAAGGAAATCAAACTCTGGGTCAGTGTGGGAACCCTTGGAGTCTCTTGGAGATAGGGGTGTGTGCAATAATATTTCCCCCCCTACTTTCTCATCACCTCTCCAAGCCTGATTCTCTATGATTAATGGATTTATATCCCACTCCCCCCCCTCCAAGTAGCGTACAATGTCCCCTTCCTCATTTAAATCCCACAACAACCCTGTGAGGTAGGTTTGGCTGGGAGACAGTGACTGGTCCCCAATGCCCCCAAGCTTCATGGCTGACTGGAGGTTTGAACCCCAGCACTCTAACCACTATACCATGCTAGCTGCTCATGTGACGATGCTGAACTCAACTCCGTGTTTAGGCTGACCTCTTGACCGCGGCTGCAGCCCAGCTATTCCCTTCCACCCTGGCCTTGCTGAGTCAGGTTTCTTGGCTGCCCAAGATTATTTGGAAGGAGGCAGAGAGCGGTGGGGGTGATGTGGGTGTTTGAGATTTATGAGCAGCCCTGGGTGCTTTTTGAGCTGAGCAGTGGCATGCCAGCGAGCTACCTGCCCTCCTCAAAGGCCCTCCAGCCTCCTGCCACGTCCTAATGAAAAGAGGGGGGAAGTCTGTTTGAAAATAGCAGCCAGGAGAACAATCAAACAAGAACTGAGCAGAAAACGCAGAGCGGGGGGGGGGGGGGGCTACCGTTAAAGACAACGCTGCAGTCAGCAAAACAACTTGAAACAGCCCCAGCAGGCGATGAAAGGTGGAGGACCTCTCCTTCTCCAGCTGCCTTGCATCTCCCTTGAAAGCCTTCTCTGAACTCGCTTCGATTTTCAAACATCTCCATTGCCATTTCCCCCCAGTTGGTAAACCACAAATAAACTGAATGTCCCCATCCTGCCTTTCCCTCAGCTGGTCTGCTTGGCTTTGATCAGAGGTTCAAAGCGCAGCAGGGTGTGTGTATGTTTTTTAAATAAGAAATAAATAAAGCATTGCCTTAATCCAGGGGTAGGCAACCTATGGCCCATGGGCCAGGTGTGGCCCAATTGCCTTCTCAATCCGGCCCACGGACAGTCCGGGAATCAGCATGTTTTCACATGAGTAGAATGCGTCCTTTTATTTAAAATGCATCTCTGGGTTACTTGTGGGGCATAGGAATTTGTTCATTCCTTCCCCCCCCCCCAAAAAATATATAGTCCAGCTCACCACATGGTCTGAGGGACAGTGGACTGGCCCACGGCTGAAAAAGGTTGCTGACCCCTGCCTTAAACTCAGCCCTATGCAATGGTGGATGTGAGCTAAAAATGGATCCTGCCCAGTCAAAGGCACCTTACCTTTGGATTACTGGAGCTGAGTTGTCTAGGCTGCTGAGAAGTTTAGAAGAGGTAAAAATAAACAATTTCACAAGAAAACGTGCAATGGGCTTAGACTCATAGAATTGTAGAGGTGGAAGGGATCCCCAAGGGTCATCTAGTCTGACCCCCTGCAATGCAGGAATTTCAACTAAAGCATCCATGACAGGTGGCCATCCAACCTCTGCTTAAAAACCTCCAAGGAAGGAGAGTCTGTTATACAGCTTTTATGGTCAGAAAGTTATTCCTGATGTTTAGCCAGAATCTTTTTTCATTTGACTCCATTGGTTTGAGTCCTGCCTTCAGGAGTTATGAAATTCACTACCAAAATACACAGCTATGGACATGTAACTTGAGTTTGGCTTTTTTTTTTTTAAGAGGTGGGGCCCACAACAACATGTTGCAGACTCTATGGAGCATTGCCAGACTCTGACTTGGGTGAAAGCCAGAATTGTGGGCTGGTTGCCAAAGGGTTTTGAGCAAAAGTCGATAACCTCATTTTGATTTGGTGGATGTTGAACAGGGCAACTTGCAGGTTCACACTCAGATGCTGGTGGCTGAATTGAGCTCATCATTTCAATGCTGCTTGCACTTCCATGCGCAGCTTCATCATGCCACACCAGAACAAAAGCGCAGGTTCAGTGTCCAGTCAGGAGATGGATAAGGCCAGTGGAACATCAAGTCCTGCAACTGTGTTGGGCCCGGGGGTAACCCGGGTAACGCAGTCCAGGTCCGGTCCCGAATCCAAGGGTTCTGCGAGGAGTCAGTCCGACAGGGCCAAGGCAGGAAACCAGGCTAGGTCAGGCACAGGATCACAGGCAGGTTCTGGCCAACAGCAACCTGGGCTGGGGTCCAGCAGCCTTTTATCTCTGCCAGGGTAATGGCCAGTCCTGTTCCCCGGCGACTCACCTCCCTGTCTCGCCCGAAGGCGAGCACTCCTCCTGCGAGTACTCAGGTCTCTCCTTCTCTCAGACCTGAGTCTCTGCAGCTCGGGAGACGTCGGTGGGTTACTAGACCCAGAGGCCGCCTCAGCCTCCCCTGACCCAACCGGTAGTGGAGCAGCAGTAAGTGATGGCCCAGCTGAAGGCAACAAGGTCATCCCTGCATCTGGAGCCAGGGCAGGCTCAGGCCCCTGACTCGGCCCAGCTGGTGCTTGTTGCAGGGGAACCTGTGCAGACTGGGGCTCTTCAGAATCAGGCCCCAGACTTGGTTCAGATGATGCCTGAGGCAGAGGATCTGGTGCGGACTGAGACTCCTCTGGCTCCGAGCCCAAGCCAGAGTCCCAGGCCATCACAGCATCCTGTTCTCACAGTGGCGATTCAGATCTCCCCAAAGGGAATCCTGAAAACAGGACCTGAAAGCAACAGCGCTCTCTGCACCTGTGATTCCCTGCCTCCAACCATAGATGCCCTGCCTCACACCCAACACAGGTAGAAAGAGGAGCTAAAAGAGGCAGTGTGGTGCAGTGGTTATTACTGGGTCAGACAAGGACCTGGGAGGCCAGGGTTCAAATTCCCCACTCAGTCACAAAGCTCACTGGGTGGCCACAGGGCCTTCGCTGCCTCTCAGCCTAATCTCCCTCACAGGGTCGTTGTGAGGATTAGATGAGGAGGAAGGATAACGGTGTAAACCACCTGGAGCTCCTTGGAGGAAAAGGTGGGGAAGAAATGCAACAAACCAACAAACAAGTGCTCCATCCCTGCACTGCAAGCACAGGTCTTTAGGGGTGCCACCAGCACTGCTACTTTTGAAGGATTCCTCATATTACTGGATCGTTGCATCATCTCAGCTGAGCTGTAAGTCGCTTCAGAAAAGCCCTTTATTTCTTAAGAGAACAAGGGCGAAGTGATACTTATTGGTGCACATGGCAGAAGAGTTCAGGAATCAGGCAAGACATTCCAAATTGGAGGGAAGCAATGGACGTCCTAACTGTTTCCATGCTCTGTCTGCCAAGCTTTAGAGAACAATGCCTCTGCTCTGCCTCCACAATTAGAGGCAGCAACGCTTGCTGGAAAACTCAGGGAGGGAGAGTACAGTGGTACCTCGTGTTACATACGCTTCAGGTTACATATGCTTCAGGTTACAGACTCTGCTAGCTCAGAAATAGTACCTCGGTTAAGAACTTTGCTTCAGGATGAGAACAGAAATCGTGCTCTGGCAGCGGGAGGCCCCATTAGCTAAAGTGGTGCTTCAGGTTAAGAACAGTTTCAGGTTAAGAACGGACCTCCAGAACGAATTAAGTACTTAACCCGAGGTACCACTGTATTGCTCTTGTGCTTGGGTCCTGCTTGCTAGTTTTCCTAAGGCACCTGGTCGGCCACTGGGAGAACAGGATGCTGGACTGAATGGGCCACTGGCCTGATCCAGCAGCCTCTTCTAATGTTCTTCTAAAGATGACATCCCCAAAGACATGAAGAAAATCTTTTTACATGCAACAGCTGCCGCAAGGTTATTGATTGCAAAAAATTGGAAATCAGAAGAAGTACCAACATTGAAAGATTGGAAATATAAATTTTTTGAAATGATTGAATTAACAAAAATGACGGCAACAATTAGAATGCAATCTAATCAAAATCTCAAACAGGAATGGAAATGTGTAGAAGAAAACATGACCAAAAAGATGCTCCAACAAGAATGTATTGATATGTATAGACTGATTTCACAAAGTTAAGTTAAGCAGATATATAAGATTGAATGTTTAATTATTAAGATACAAAATTACAATCTCAATAATAAAGTTACAAAATAATAACAAGGAAGTCACGCACGGGTCAAGGGAAGACACAGGGCAAGAAATAAGAAATGGATAAATGTTGGTACATAATGAAATGTGAAAATGTGTATGTATTGCAACATAAATAAATAAATAAAATGAGGTCCGGTGTACTCAATCATAAGACTCACTCACTTTGCGAGAGTATGGGAACTGCGAAGGTGGCTGGATCTGTTCCTATTGTGGGATGTGATTCATGAGAGGCAGTCAAGTACAGTATTCCTTGTAATGCTAGAGAGGACATGCAAGGGAATGTTTGGTCCAGCCAGTCAAAGCTTCCTTTTCCTCCTGGCTGGAGCATCCTTCCTTTTACATGTGATAGAAGGTGGGCGTGACCTAACCTGTCCAGGTAACAAAAGGACGAGTCACGCAGCACACCTCCTCCTCTTCCATCTTCCTTTCATCGTGTGAACTGCTGGACTGCTAGCCTGCAGTAACTGGGATTATTCCCCATATGGGGTAGATCCACATGTACATATTTGTAACTAAGGCTGCCTTCAGGAATCCAACTGTGAACTGATGTGAGTAAACCTCTTTTACTGACTTTGAAAAAGATTGTGGTGTCTTTATTCTTTTGAGAGGGATTCAAGGGAATTTACCAGGAACGTACAATTCAATCTGAGACAGACTGAATTGTATAATAGTGAGAGGCCCACACGAGCCTGCAACCAGCTATCTGCTGTGCTTGTAAAAAGGGGAAATATAAATTCTGCTAAGTAAAGGAACTTGTTATCGCAAGTTAGGAAGAATATTAATAAACAATATATCCTCTCTTGCCACCCTGAACATCCCCACATCTATCAGTGGAGGAAGTAGCTAGCTCAGGGGCAAAACTAGGCTTTATTTCACCCAGGTCAAAAACTAAGTTAGGCACACACAGCTCACATGCATTTGTGTACACACACACACACAGGCTGGGAGCCTCAATGGAGGATTCACCTGGGGCAAAAAAACACCAAACCCAGCTAGACGCCCCCCCAGTTATGGCACTGCCTGGTTCCTACCAATCAGAACCCCATTTCTTCCTCCTCCCATGTCAGGGCTTGCCAACCCAGTCCCAATCGCAACAGGGCCACACGGCTTATGACAATGCAGGTAGAACCATAGATTTGCAACCCCCTGCACGGCTAGAACAGCAGCTGAGAAACCCCAGATGGGCTTTCGTAGCCATTGTGGCTAACTGCGCTGCTGTGTCTTCCAAAAGCAGGGGCCGGCCCTACCTTGAGGCAGAGTGAGGCAGCTGCCTCTGATGGCAAATGCTGGGAGACGGGAAGTCGGCAGAGTCGATTGCGCCACAGGGGCCGGTCTCCACCCTGCAAGCTCGCCAGCCTACAGGTGCCGTGATGGACCTGATCCCATTGCTAGGGCCCAGGGGAGAGTCACAGGCCAGTCTGGTTTTGTTTTTCACATAGAATGAGGAAACCGGTGCATCTTCAAAACCATTAGAAATAGGGCACTCAGTCACCTCGGCCAAGACAGCCACACAAATACACCCCCGACGTATTTGCTTTGGAAAGGGGGTGGCTGTTGTTGTTGTCAAGGGTCATGAAGGAGAAAAACATCTCGGGGATGTAAATCCGTCAGCTCTGCCTGCTGGGGCAGGGGGGTGCCCTTCCAAAAGAGGCATCGATCAGCTAAATATATCACACTTTTGGGGGTGACAGAGAGACCTAATTGTTGTTGGAGCTAAGAAAAGTCTCCCTGCGAGTGAGCGGTTTGGATGCATTTGAATGCGACAAGGGCTGACTCGACTCAATCCCGCCTGCATCTTGCCAAGAGCTCCTGAGCCACCCAGGGCTTGAGATTCTATTAGAGGCCGGCTGAATAATTCATGGCACAGGAATATTTGGGCAGGAAGGAGGAGGGGGCAGCAGAAACGGCATCTATTTTCAGGGACGAGGCCTGCTGCGTGCCCCTTGCTCATAGGAGAAGAAGTTCTCCCTCGAACCCTAACGGATTTACGATGAATCATGAGATATTGGGGGATGCTAAGGGAGGGAGGGGTCAAAGTTCCTCCCTTTGTCATCTCACAGGGATGTTTTTGACAGGGAGCCCTGAAGGTTAGCAATTCCAAAGGTTGAAAAGAGAACTGGCAATGTGTCAAGACTTTCAGGAAGAATTCCACATTTTTAAAAATAAAAAAAACACCTGATTGCCAAATCCTCAAGTACTGTATTGCCACAGGAAAGGAAGGAAGGATGAAGAAATCAAAATTTAATGTCCAGATCAAGGTATGTCATAGAGTAGTCCATTCTGCCTTGATCAGACCCTCCCTAGAGTCCTGTGTCCAGTTCTGTGTGACACAATCTAAGATGTTTAGCCTCGGAAAGAGGAGATTGAGAGGAGATGTGATAGCCAAATATCTCAAGGGCTGTCACATGAAAGATGGAGCAAGCTTGTTTTCTGCTGCACCAGAGGGGAAGACCTGAAACAATGGACTCAAATTAATTAATAATAATAATAATAATAATAATGTTTATTTTTTAAAACCCCACCCATCTGGCTGGGTTTCCTCAGCCACTCTGGGTGGCTTACAGCTGGCTTACAGCATATAAAAAATTGTAAAAACGTCAAACATTAAAAACTTCCCTAAACAGGGTTGCCTTCAGATGTCTTCTAAAACTCAGATAGTTGATTATTTCCTTGACATCTGATGGGAGGGCGTTCCACAGGGCGGGTGCCACCACCAAGAAGGCCCTCTACCCGGTTCCCTGCAACTTGGCTTCTCGCAGGGAGGGAACTGCCAGAAGGCGCTCGGCGCTGGACTTCAGTGTCCGGGCAGAACGATGGGGGTGGAGATGCTCCTTCAGGTATACTGGACCAAGGCCATTTAGGGCTTTCAAGGTCAGCACCAACACTTTGAATTGCGCTTGGAAACGTACTGGGAGTCAATGCAAGACTTTCAGGACCAGTGTTCTATGGCCTCAGCGGCCCCTCCAAGTCACTAGTCTAGCTGTTCCTTCCAAGAAAGGAGATTCCAACTAAATAGGAAAGAACTTTCTGATGGTAAGAGCTGTTTGACAGTTGAACGGTCTCCCTCGGGAGCTTGTGGACTCTCCTTCATTGAAGGTTTTTAAAACAGAGGTTGGATGGCCGTCTGTCAGGAATTTTCTAGCTGAGATTCCTGCATTGCAGGGGGTTGGACTAAGTGAGCCTTTGTTATAAAATCAATAATAATAAATATAGATTTTAATATATACCATACCAGTTCCTGCCAACCTAGCAGTTCAAAAGCACATCAAAGTGCAAGTAGAGAAATAGGTACCGCTCCGGCGGGAAGGTAAACGGCGTTTCCGTGCGCTGCTCTGGTTTGCCAGAAGCGGCTTAGTCATGCTGGCCACACCACCCAGAAGCTGTATGCCGGCTCCCTTGGCCAATAAAGCGAGATGAGCGCTGCAACCCCAGAGTCGGTCACGACTGGACCTAAGGGTCAGGGATCCCTATACCATACCAGAGAACAAATAAAAGCATATTATTTGTCACTCGACCTACAGAAACCAGAAGATGGGGGCTTTCCATGAAAGAAAGGAGGCAGAATTAGCACCGTAAAATGTATACAAACAGAAGCTACTCTCAAAGGCACAGGAGCATGGTCTATTCGAAAAGTTGGCAACCTGAAAGCTGTCAGTGCAGAAATGAATTCTGTTTCCCAAGGCTGAGCTAGGCAGTGGTTTTCCGTGTTATTTTTTTCCTGAGCTCTTCCACTCCTTTGCCCAAGGTGGTGTCAGGATTTCCTTTGGAGCCAAAACAGGCCAGTGGCTTGATCAGTTAACCGTTAGGTTTTTCATACCTGCAATTAAAGCTTTAGCAGTTGTGTTGAATTGCCAGAGGCAGCTTGCAAAATTAAAATGTGCCAGAAAACCTCCTGGGAGCTCAGTGTCGTGGACTGTTCTGGAATGAAGCCCATTCATAGCAGGAGTCAGCCAGGACGCAAGGCAGCCTAGACGCACATGGGGTTCCTCGAGAGGCAGGAATCTCTTGAACTGTGCGAGCCTTAGGCCCCTGCCTGTACAGCCAAGCCAGCCCTAGACTGGCCCACCTTGCAAGGCCGTTGCAAAGATTAGTGCAATATCCTACTGAAAGCGTTTTGAATGTTTGAAGTGCAAAAACAACCCAAACACCATTCTAATTATTGGTTGCATTAGTTAATCATTTGCAGCCAAAGTCCTACCCCCCAAAAAGCAACCACAAGATCAAAATCTAGGGGTCTTAGTGGACCACAAGGTTAACATGAGTCCACAGTGCGATGCAGCAGCAAAAAAAGCTAATGCTATTCTAGGCTGCGTCAACAGAAGCCTAGCGTCCAGATCAAAGGAAGTCATAGTTCCACTCTATTCTGCCTTGGTCAGACCACACTTGGAATACTGTGTCCAGTTTTGGGCACCACAATTTAAGAAGGGCTGTCACACAGAAGATGGAGTAAGCTTAGAATCATAGAATTATAGAGTTGGAAGAGACCACAAGGGCCATCGAGTCCAACCCCCTGCCAAGCAGGAAACACCATCAGAGCACTCCTGACATATGGTTGTCAAGCCTCTGCTTAAAGACCTCCAAAGAAGGAGACTCCACCACACTCCTTGGCAGCAAATTCCACTGTCGAACAGCTCTTACTGTCAGGAAGTTCTTCCTAATGTTTAGGTGGAATCTTCTTTCTTGTAGTTTGGATCCATTGCTCCGTGTCCGCTTCTCTGGAGCAGCAGAAAACAACCTTTCTCCCTCCTCTATGTGACATCCTTTTATATCTTTGAACATGGCTATCATATCACCCCTTAACCTCCTCTTCTCCAGGCTAAACATGCCCAGCTCCCTTAGCCGTTCCTCATAAGGCATCGTTTCCAGGCCTTTGACCATTTTGGTTGCCCTCCTCTGGACACATTCCAGTTTGTCAGTGTCCTTCTTGAACTGTGGTGCCCAGAACTGGACACAGTACTCCAGGTGAGGTCTGACCAGAGCAGAATACAGTAGCACTATTACTTCCCTTGATCTAGATGCTATACTCCTATTGATGCAGCCCAGAATTGCATTGGCTTTTTTAGCTGCCGCGTCACACTGTTGGCTCATGTCAAGTTTGTGGTCAACCAAGACTCCTAGATCCTTTTCACATGTACTGCTCTCTAGCCAGGTGTCACCCATCTTGTATTTGTGCCTCTCTTTTTGTTTGCCCAAGTGCAATACTTTACATTTCTCCCTGTTAAAATTCATCTTGTTTGTTTTGGCCCAGTTCTCTAATCTGTCAAGGTGGTTTTGAAGTGTGATCCTGTCCTCTGGGGTGTTAGCCACCCCTCCCAGTTTGGTGTCATCTGCAAATTTGATCAGGATGTCCTTGAGTCCATCATCCAAGTCGTTGATAAAGATGTTGAATAAGACCGGGCCCAAGACAGAACCCTGTGGCACCCCACTAGTCACTCTTCTCCAGGATGAAGAGGAACCATTGATGAGCACCCTTTGGGTTCGGTCAGTCAGCCAGTTACAAATCCACTGAGTGGTAGCATAGTCAAGACCGCATTTTACCAGCTTCTTTACAAGAATATCATGGGGCACCTTGTCAAATGCCTTGCTGAAATCAAGGTAGGCTACATCCACTGTGTTCCCTTCATCTACCAGGCTTGTAATTCTGTCAAAAACAAGATCAGGTTAGTCTGACATGACTTATTTTTCAGAAATCCATGCTGACTATTGGTGATCACAGCATTCCTTTCTAGGTGCTCACAGACTGTTTGCTTAATGATCTGCTCCAGAATCTTCCCTGGTATTGATGTCAGACTGACTGGGCAGTAATTATTTGGGTCCTCTCTTTTCCCCCTTTTGAAAATAGGGACAACATTGCCCTCCTCCAGTCTGCCGGGACTTCGCCTGTTCTCCAGGAATTCTCAAAGATGACTGCCAGTGGTTCTGAGATCACATCTGCCAGTTCTTTTAATACTCTTGGATGCAGTTCATCTGGCCCTGGAGACTTGAATACATCTAGACTAGCCAAGTGTTCTTGTACTATCTCCTTAGTTATTCTGGGCTGTGTTTCCTCTGCTGAATCATTTGCTCCAAATTCTTCAGGTCGGGCATTGTTTTCTTTATCGGAGAAGACTGAGGCAAAGAAGGCATTGAGGAGTTCAGCCCTTTCTGTGTCCCCTGTTTGCATTTCACCATCTTCTCCTCTGAGTGACCCCACTGTTTCTTTGTTCTTCCTTTTGCTACGGACATACCCATAAAAGCCATTTTTGTTGCTTTTAACCTCTCTAGCAAGCCTGAGTTCATTCTGTGCTTTAGCTTTTCTGACTTTGTGTCTACACGTGCTGGCTATTTGTTTGAATTCCTCTTTGGTGGTTTCCCCCCTTTTCCATTTTTGTACACATCCTTTTTTAATCTTAACTCAGTTAAAAGTTCTATAGATAGCCACCCTGGCTTCTTTAGGCACCTTCCATGTTTCCGTCTCATTGGTATTGCCTGAAGTTGTGCTTTTACTATCTCCCTCTTAACAAACTCCCAGCCATCATGAACTCCCTTTCCTTTTAGTATTACTGTCCATGGGATCTCACCCAGCACTTCCCTAAGTTTTATGAAGTCGGCTTTCTTAAAGTCAAGAAATTGAGTCCTAGTATGCTTGGCTGCTCCTTTCCGCTGTATAGTAAGCTTCAGAAGAGCATGATCACTCGTGCTTGTTTTCTACTGTTGCAGAAGGTAGGCCTTGAACCAATGAAGAAATTATTATTATTATTATTATTATTATTATTAATAATAATAATAATAATATACCACCCTATATCCAGGGGTCTCAGGGCAGTTCACAGAATAAAATCAAGGTATAAAACCACAAAATACACAATAAAAATAGCAACCCAATAGCCCCCCCCTCAAAAAACACATTTTATAAGGGCATAGGATGTCGATGAGATCAACCAAAGGCCTGGTTAAAAAGGAATATTTTGCCTGGCGCCTAAAGGCAAACTTCCCTGGGGAGAGCATTCCACAGACGGGGAGCCACTGCAGAAAAGGCCCTGTTCTCGTGTTGCCACCCTCTGAACCTCTCGAGGAGGAGGCACACAAAGGATGGCCTCGGAAGATGATCTCAGGGTCTGGGTAGGTTCATATGGGAAGAGGTATTGTGGTCGAAGGGGCAGAGGAGGAACCAGAGACCAAATTGCAAACATGCGCTGGATTATGGAGAAAGCTAGAGAGTTCCAGAAAGACGTCTATTTCTGCTTCATTGACTATACAAAAGCCTTTGACTGTGT